GGAGGAAGATGCCTGTACGCTGGAAGTGATGCAGCCATAGCTGCCCAGCGAGTTAGCATTAGTAGTAGAGGGTCAGTATGTAGCTATGAGTAGTATCCAGAGTAGATCCTCATGAGTATTGAAGAGTGTGTATGCATCATAGGAGGAAGGGATTGAGGCTGAGAGTGTTCATTCAAGGTTTGGCTATGGAAGATACTTACCTGAGTTGGATGTGACCTGCAGAGGTGGCGCTGATGAGTAGTGACCWCATTGATGACTTGGAGACTATCTGCAGGGGTAGCGCTGATTCACTGGAAGTCATATTGATGAGTTGGCAAGATAGTGGTGTTGCGCTGATGAGCGCTGGACTCAGGGGAACTTTGAAACACTTTGTATTCATATTTTTGATAATATAAGCTGTGATACTCGGTCCTTCTATTCTCTACCTTTGTTTATGGTTGAGATTATTGATCACTGCGTGTGAAGATGATGCATGACATGTACACATCTGCGTGAGATGGTCTCCAGGACCCATGCACAGCACACCACATGTGCACAACAAGCAAGCACAAACTGTGCACATTTTGCACGTGGATCAGACTCAGAGAAGGAAACAAATCCAAACATTTGAACCACCAGTCTGTTTCCCAGCTGCCTCGTTTTTGGACATGACCATTACCACGCTGCACCAGTGCAAATCACAGTTCGGACCTACCAGAAGGAAAAGGTTGGTGGCACCTGCCAAGATCGCTCGCGTGATGGCTCATTTTTTTTAAGGGCACAGCAGCACAGCACATCGGGAAGAAGAGGTTGAATGGACTGGCGATTAAAACCACCAGTACCACCGAGCCTCTTTTCGCCGTGGAAGATCCCCCCCTGCGCATCAAGCTTCGCCTTTCTTTCTTTCTTTTGGCTGGAACCGCTAGCCTTGTTTTTTTTATGGGGGGGAACCGCTGGCCATTTTGGTCTGGTAGCACTGTTCACCCTAAATTTGCGGATTGGCCCAATTTTTATCTCAAGTTTGCCTGGGCGATGTACTGGCTTGGAGACTGATAACACGACTGGGCTGGGCATTATGGCACAATGTGACCGGGACTTATGGCGACCAGGAATTATGGCGGTGGAGATTGGATGTCCACAATGAGTGGGAACGGTACAAAGGGACTGGGAGTGGCAGCGAAAAGTGTCAAAAAAAATAACGCCTCCAAAATAGAAAGAATTGCAATGGACCACTTATATCATCACTCCAAACATGTGCATCATGAGAGTTCACGCAAAAATCAACACCGGAGTCCAGATATCATAAACATCAATGAATGATCATATTATAAAAAAACAGAGTTCGAGTAACCAGCGCAACATCATATTATACAGATTCTGAGTTTGTGTCACCAAGCGCTCATCAGCGCAACTTCATCTTCTACAGATTTGGTGTTTGAGTCACAGCCACTCATCGGCGCAACACTCAGCAGGGTCAATCAGGTCTGTAACTCTTCCTCTTCTCTCGGCTTGCAGCGCACAACCTCACTGGCTCTTTCCCTCTCTTCCTCTCTCTCCTGAACTCTCTCTCAGTCTCTGCTACTATCGAGGATCTCGACCCTGGATACATCCGCCTCCTACTCATCCTCTATCCCTACTTCTACTGCGCGGCTATGGCCGCCTGTCCCCTACAGCATAGCGCTGCCCAGCAGGGCTCCTTAGCGTTCTGTCACTCGCAATAACCCACACAAGTGCCAACAGCACTCCACCTTCCCGCAAATGAGCTATCTGCCCGAATGAGGCTGGGCCAGTCTTCTTATTGACTTGGCCTGGGCCCTGGTTTCACTGGCCTCTGCCGTCTGGGCTTGATTTGACAGGTACCGGTTGCCCACGGCCTGTTTGCTTTTGGAATATTGGGCCGGTACCTTCCAGACTTTTCCAAAATTGGAGCCCTGCTGCATTTTTGGACTGTGGGACCTGACTGACTGGTCATCGGGCACCTTTTGAGTTTGACCTCTGCCTCTTGGACGAGTTTGACCTCTGCCCCTTGGATGAGTTTGAACTCTGCCCCTCGGATGAGTTTGACCTCTGCCCCTTGGATGAGTTTGAACTCTGCCCCTCGGATGAGTTTGACCTCTGCCCCTTGGATGAGTTTGACCTCTGCCCCTTGAATGAGTTTGACCTCTGCCCCTTGGATGAGTTTGACCTCTGCCCCTTGGATGAGTTTGACCTCTGCCCCTTGGATGAGTTTTGACTTCTGCCCGTTGGATGAGTTTGACCTCTGCCCCTTGGATGAGTGTGACCTCTGCCACTTGGATACCCGAAGCGACAACGTTTCAGTTTAGGCCTGTTGGCCTTTTTTGACTTAGGACCTTGACCCTGAAAGTCGAATTTTGGGTCTGCAAAGTGAAAAGGCCTTTCAGAATATCCTTCCTTCCTTCCTTATTATATTAATGTCACCAGAGAATGAAGAGTAGCATGACACGCATAAAATCGAGAAATGGTCCAAATTTTTTTTTGTTTTATTTTAAACAACCATTTCACATGACCCTACGTTGACAAAGTCACGTTCCAAGGCTCACGAGCCTGCAACTGCGCCTTTTGAACGTGGCATGCCGCTTTCGCTACCGGCGCAGGACCAAATAGAAATGCTCTTACCGCGTATACGGTAAGAGCACTGCTTAGGTTCGTGTGAACTGGTGGAGTGTGATGTTACTTGCTGTCAGTTTGAAAGAAGGAAGCCACCAACGGAGAAAGGGATAACAGAGTAAGGGAGCGGTTAACAGAGACACGGATGAATTAAGGGGGGGGAAGGGTACAGCCAACCGCCACGTAGTGTGTAGATGTTTACAGACACCTTTTGTTCATGGGTTGTTAGGGGATGGAACCCCATCTTCTGCTCCCTATGGCGTTGCCTTCCAGGTCGTCGTAATCCAAAGGCAGCCGCTGCATGCCGCGGGGCCTTCCAACCGCTTCGCAAAACAGATCTCTCAAGTCCCTGCCACAAAGGCCACCGTGGCAGCCAGCCAGAAGCATAAGCAACTCACGCAGAAGTATAAGGACAAGCATAAGAAACGGCAAAAGGATAAGGACAAGGATAAGAAATGGCAGCCATCCAGAAGCATAACCAACTCAAGCAAAGGATAAGAAATGGCAAAAGGATAAGGACAAGGGTAAGAAATGGCAAAAGGATAAGGACAAGGATAAGAAATGGCAAAAGGATAAGGACAAGGATAAGAAATGGCAGCCAGCCAGTAGCATAAGCAACTCAGGCAAAGGATAAGGACAAGGATAAGAAATGGCAAATTGATAAGGACAAGGATAAGAAATGGCAAAAGGACAGGGACAGGGATAAGAAATGGCAAAAGGATAGGGACAGGGATACGAAATGGCACAAGGACAAGGACAGGGATACGAAATGACACAAGGATAAGGACAAGCAATACAGGCAAAAAGATCAGGACAAGGATAAGAAATGGCACAAGGATAAGGACAAGCAAAGCAGGCAAAAGGATAAGGACAAGGATAAGGACTGGCAAAAGGATAAGGATAAGCGTTAGGGGCAAAAACATAGAGGCAAACAATACAGGCAGAAGGATAATGTAATGGCCCATGCAGTTTTCAGTCTGAGCAACCTTCACTCCTGTTTCTAAGGATCGACTCTCTTCCGTGCCATTGACCTGTTTGCTGAGATTTCCAAGTTTGAGTCTGATTCGCTTTGTGTTTCTGTGTCTGTGCGACCTGATGCTGATGTATGTATGCCTGTGCGACCAGGACCAACTTTGTTATCGTCGTGTGCCTTCTGTGTCCCAGGAGGGGTACGAGCAGAAATGGATACAACGGTAGGACTAAAATTAGGCACGGTACGGACTTTGCAGAAGAAAGGCCAGGACGGACAAGGGCAAAAGTAGAACTTGGCGAGTATCCGGTAGGGAATTCCCAGCAACTCGGGTAGGCCAAAGTGAAGTCCGATAGGCTTAGAAAGGTCGGGTAGCTTCCAAAAAAAGAGGCCATGAGTATTCAGTCCCGTACCTAGGCAGCTTTCAGCTTAGGTACAGGCCCTGTAGTTGGATGGCAGACTGCAATGATGTTCCTGCGCAAAGACAGGAACATCCCGTAGGCCTGAGTGGGGGGTACCCAATTGTCTTGAACTTCATCCCAAAGTGTGGCTATGGCGGAATGAGATGGGAGGGAGAGGCACAGCATCCATTTCAAAAATAATTTGACCTTGGGAAACACGATCAATCCAACCATAACTAGAGGGGAGGAGCCAGAGTGAGGCCCAAAGGAGGGTTCTTTTAATTGATTGCTGTAAGGGGGATCACTCGGACATGATACCTGTTCATTCATTCATTCATTCATTCATTCATTCAGTTTGAGGCGGTTTAATTCTGTTCTTCGTCAGTTTTCGAATCTGCTTGATACCCATTCATTCTGTTTCAGTCCGTTTGATTCTGTTCTGAGTCAGTTTCGAATCTGCTTGAGTCTGTCAAGGGACTGTTGGAGTCTGTTTGAGCCTGTTTTGAGTCTCTGAGTGAGTCTGTTTTAGTCTACAGGTCCATTTGAGTCTGCCTGCTTCTGTTTTCGCTCGGTTTTGAGTCTGTCTGATTCAGTTTTGGACCTGTCTCGAGTGTGCTTGAGTCTGTTTTTAGCCTGTTCTGAGTTCGTTATACAAAAAACAGGGCTGATTTTTGCCTGCACGGGGTTCCCCCCGGGCAACTTGTCTTGGGTGTGCACAGCCGTGCTGCACGGCCGGACGACCCTAGTAGTCCAGGTATCCGGGGAGCCTCGAAACTGGTGCCGATTGCTCATTTGATAACACTGGCAGCGAGTTGTCGCTCCAAGATTCGTTCTCATCATCTCAGGATCGCACGGCTTGCAAGACGTTGACATCAACTGCTTCATTGAGAAAGGAAAGGCGGCACAAAACGAGGGCAGAAAGAATCAGGGACCGCGAGTTCCTCTGCTTATTCAGAGCTTGTCGCTTTTTTTTTGTTTTTTTTGTTTTTTTGTTTTTTTGTTTTTTTTAATTCTTTTTTAATTAAATTTAGTCCCTATATGTGACCGTCCTTCAGTAATTCAAGAGAGGTATAAACTAGTAAAAAAAGAGCTTAATCTAGAGGGTTCTGTTGTTAACAACTTCATGCAATATTGTTTTTTTATTATTATAAACTAAAAGTAAAGTAATGATAGTAATCCCTTTTTCGTGGTCAAGGAATTAAAGAGACGTAAACAATAAATCAGAGCTTCATGGAGGGACCAAAAAGAAGCGATTTTTTTTTTAACAAATTTATCGAATCATCTATATACATCACGGGATTAATAGTTTTTCAGAATTTTTGAAAGTTCAAACACGGGGACTTTCACATCGCATTTTTATATTAAGATGAAATCTACAAAGAAAGGCAAAAAAAAAAACAATCCATGGCATCAGCCAAGGTGATTTTGCAGAGTTGAGGGACGCTGGGCCCAGTTCCCTCAGCACGTGTTGCTTCCCACGAATAAGATTGGGGCAGCCATCCCATACCGATGCCCCTGCAACAGGCGTGGGCTCTTATCCCCGTCTGCAGCAGGGGCACCCCGGTTGATATTTTCTTTTAAGAAAGAAAAAAGACGTCAATTTTGCAGTGCGACCTTTCCAAAAAAAAAAAAACTGAAAAAAAAATCACAATGGAAAAAAATCCAAAAAAAAAAAAAAAAAAAAAAAAAAAAAAAAAAAAAAAAAAAAAAATCATCCACCGGTGTCAACGAACTCCAAACTGACTGGGTCTCACACGACGGAGGACCGGAACAGAAGGGGTCTTTCCCTCTTCCCCTTGGGTTCATATTTCTGGTACTCCTCTCCAAATGCAGGGCCAATGAGGACCAGTGTCCTGGGCTGTCTCATGGTGACCTACCGTCTTCCCCCGAACATAACGCACCCTGACAATGCATGTATACAAGCTATATTTTCGGTCGTACAGCCAAAATGAGGGTGCGTCGTGTTCGGGGGAAAACGGCGGTCCTGGAGCTGGCGGGAAGAGGCCTGGTGGTATCTCCCTTGGGATGTGGACACTCTACTTGTGCCCCCCCCCAAAGACGAAACAGCTCAGTTGCGCGAGACGCCCAGGGGCCCAGTCCCAGCAGCAAAGAGGATTTGGATTCACCGCCTGAAGCTGGACGTGTTTGCGGAGAGGTTTAAAAAATCGTGATCGATCTACTTCTTGGGCATCTCTGCATAAAACACATCCTGATTCAGGTGCTTAATCCAATCCTCTTTGCTACCGGTAGAGGGACTGCGCCCCACTGGGCCGGCCTACCGGTAGTAGCGCAGGAGCGCACCGGCTTCCATATAATCGCCGCCAGCTCAGGACCGAACCCGCAGGCTCGGGACTTAATTAAGTCCCACTACCGGTAGCGGGGGTTTAGAGTTGGGTTCGGGCATGCACACCCAACACACACGCTTGGGGCTTAATTAAGTCCCACTAGCCGAGGGGGGGTACACTTGACTTCGAGTACGCACAGGTTCCTGCCATCCATTCATTCGATCCAAATATCTCACCGCGGGTACACCCCGAATGCAGGGGGTGAAAGAAGCCACCCGTTCTTTCTTTTTTTTTTTCCCGAATGCAGGACCTTTATGCGCTTTGTTAGTAGTCTCCAAATCCGGTCTTTTTTTGTTTTGGGATGCATGTCGGGATCTCTGTGTGCTTGGGGGGCGGGAGGCGGGGGGACCGGGGCTATGAGTGGCGGGGRGGGRGGAGGGAGAGGGAGCCTGTGGTGGCATAAGGAGGAGAGAGACTATAGCGGAGGAGGGAGGAGGGAGTCAATGGGGCAGGAGGGATGAGGGAGGCTAAGGCGGAGGAGGGAGGAGGAAGGCGATGGGTGAGGAGGGTTAGGATGGAGGCCATGGTCAAGGAGGAAGGAGAGTGGAGGCAGGCGATGGGGGAGGATGGAGGCCACGCCCGAAGGGAGAGGATGGATGCGGAGGAGGGAGGCGATGGGTGATGGTGAAGGAGGGAGGCGATGGGTGATGGTGAAGGAGGGAGGCAATGCCCCGTGGGGAGGATGGATACGAAGGAGGGCGGGGATGAGAGGAGGGAGGCGATAGGAGGAGAATGGGAGGCGATGGGATAAGGACGCGAGGGGATGTCCGATGGGGGAGGATGGATGCGGAGTAGGGAGGGGAGGGGTAATGATGAAGGAGGGAGGCGACAGGGCTGAGGTTGGCTGTGGGCGCGGCAAAACGGAAAAAATAAAATCTAGACGGACTAGACTCTAGTAGTCTATTAGATGGGCGTAGCAGGGTAGTTGCGCCAAGAAAGAGAAGAGGAAGAAGAAATGTAGAAGAAGAAGAAACGAAGAAGAAACGAAGAAGAAGAAGAAAAGAAGAAGAAGAAGAAGAAGAACCAGAAACAAGGAAGAAGAAAAAGAAGATAAGACGAAGAAGCGAAGAAGAAGAAGAAGGAGAAAACGAAGAAGGAACACGAAAGGAGAAGTAAAAGAAGAAAGACTAAAGGACAACAAGAAAAAAAAAACGCCGCCTCACCTTTGGGATGAAGCTAGCACCTCTCGCTGTGGCGCGACATGGTGGACTTTGAGGAGACAGCACGTCAACGAGGACGACGTTGCGCGACGAGATGGCAGCCATGGCGGCGACGACGTGCGACTCCCAGCGACGACGTGCAACTCTCTGGCACGGATGAATGGGGCGGGGAACGCAGGGCTGGGTGCGCCTCAGGCAACTACTATCTTCCCCCGAACACAACGCACCCTCGTTTTGGCTGCACCGGACCAGTAATATCGTTTGTATACATTTATTATCAGGGCGCGTTGTGTTCGGGGGAAGACGCCACCGCTGCGACGAGGGGAAACAGATGACTAAGGACACGGCACAAAGTTCACCTGCTTTCACATTTGAATCCGGTATTCAAAGCCATTAGGCTGCGCCTTGCCTGGTTGCCTTTTTTGTGGATTCAGTCTCAGGGCATACTCACACGACGACCCCAAATCCTCATAAATCCGCAAAATATGCGGATTTGGGAAGGTCCGATGTGAGGTTTTGGGCATGGTTCACCTGTACCTTTTCAGATGGGACAAGGTCGCAGCCGTCTGGAGAGATGGGGATTTGGTACTTGGCTGGTCACACGGGGCCATCCACAAACTGTGCAAGACAATACCCACCCCAATTCTCCTATCTGCTTTGAGCGGGGCACCGGTGGAACGCTGCGGTCGGCACAGAGCGCTCTGCCCAGCGGTACCGGTCGCGGATTCGCGGCACGAATTTTCGACCACGGTCAACCGAAGCACTACCGACGAGATAGTGCCTCGGGAATACCGACTCTTTCCCCTGACTGGGGTAAAGCGGCTACGGTGGGCAGGCTCCCGCAGCCGAGTTCGGATGACCGCCTTCCGGTGCAGCCCAGACAAGGGACATAAGACGTCAGAGTAAGAGTTAAGACCAAGGAGGTGGAGTTGAAGTGAATAAGTAACAAAGGTCGTAATAGACTGGCAGTAGGGGCAGTAGGAGTAAAGAGGAGAGAAGGCAAGGACAAGATGGAGGAGGAAACGGGAGGACAGAGAATGAACGCGAGATCACCACCACCAGGACCATCAGAGCCAGCAAACTACTGGGACGATGAGGAGCGAATCAGATCGTTTCTAACCCTCTGTTTTGACGATGGGATCTACCCCATGGACCTCTACCCAGGAGAGATGGAGGTACAAGGAAGAGAGGTGAAGTTCACACTAAACACTTAAGGTTCAATGCCTGAAAGAACGGACAGTTTCGATGATCTTCAAGGACAACGCGAGATTCCTCTCGAAGAAGATAAAGGATGACACCATACGCGCATTTGAGGATGGCTGGATTTTAGGCAGTAAGTGTTTCCCAAAGAAGTGAGGAGAAGACGAGTGAAAATAGAAGGCTCAAATGCTCTTTCTTACATAGCAAATTCTAGGGAGGTGGCGAGCTTCATGTTAAGTGAAGGTGGGGTGGAGATCCCCACGAGCCAAGCAAATGTCAGATACAGTTCAAACCGTGGATGACGATAGCAAAGTTCGGGGATTTGAGAAGGCAGGAGGACGATAGGACGTTTTGGGTGATAGCAGTACAAGTCCGTTTGGACGATATGCCCTTCATTTACGTGCAAATCGAACGAGCAATTGGCAAGATAGAGTGGGCACACCCACCTGACAAAGACCCTGACAGACCAACCCTTGTTAATGCGAGGTTTGACCTGGTCTCAGATGCTAGAGGAAATATGAAAGACAGGATGTGGATCCTTACCTCGAAGACTGGCTTGCTCCACCACACCGAAATATCGGTCATGCCGACAATTCTTTCACACAGAAGAGGAATGTCGCAGAAGAGGAGGAGCACAAAACAAAAAAAGGACGAGTGGGATGAACGGTCCTACCCAACAACCCTCACAGGTGCAATCAAGTACTGGGGAAGGGACGGGTAGAAGACCCCAATATCAAGGTCCACTGGGCCCACAGCCCCAAGCGGAGGCGGCCATACATACACGCTTCACGAATATGGTGGTTAATGTCACATTCTCACCGGAGTCTCATATTCAAGCAAGCCCTTTCATGCAGAATTTGTATTAGATGATGGCGGCGTCGAGCGCATCGGTCCGGCACCGCACAGGCAGTGGGGAACCCTCCCAGCCGCGTCACGCAGGAGTTAGTCTAAATCCTTGTCGCGAATATACATGGAGTTTCCGCAAGCCGCTCCGGCCGAGTGCGCCAGCCATACCTCTCGCAAGCCCCTACCACAGGACAGGGCCTACGCAAGGCACGACTTACCCCCACCTTACGGGAGTTGTCACCTCCCTTCGGTGGGCGTATCCCCGCCGAGCTACCAGTCCACAGTACGAAAGTTGATCAGTTGCAATCGCAGAGGTGGACCAGCCGAGGGCGTTTCCCGTTCGCTGTAGCATAGGGGGTATGCGAGGTAGTACGCCTCTATCGAGCCCGTACACGAACCGGCACCTTGGGGGGGTTGAGATCCCAAGCGGGACTCGTCGCCGGTCGACTAGGACGTATCCCACATTCCACGCGCACACCACTCTACAGAACATAAAAATAAAAACCCGCACACGTACACATACATATACAAGACGACACTGAACAAACAACGCGACAACACTCCTAGTCCCTTAGTAGCCATCTCATAATTTTCCGATGCGGAAATCGGATAGGCGTCGCTCGAGAAACTTAGTATAAAACCGCGCGGACGCAGGGCTAACTCATATCGATTCGCAATGTAAGCCTACACAAGCAGTCGCAATGATGGCGCACTATGTAGTACCCATTCTTATGTGGTCCTTGTTAATCTCGAGGGTCGCATTTGACACTTAAGTGTCGGCTAACACGCGCCTTGAGGGAACGATCTCTCGACGTTGGACAACCGCCAAGTGCGGTTGAAAACCACATCCTCTTCTGCACCCTGCAGAGAGTGGGTGGTACACAGGTTCATACCTGTGGTGACAATCGTCTCTTCTTGCCTTGGAGACCATCTCCATTATCTAGGGCCTGGAGAGAAGTCAAGGGGTTTGACTTTGACGGTTGCCACGGACTACAACGCCCAACTATCAAAATTAATAAGCAAAATCAATCAGTAAATAAATAGACATCCAACACTCATATATCAAATTAGAACTCGGGATAAAATAAAAGAAGGGGAAACATAAACCCATCAGGTATGCAGATCGTACGACACATGGTTGTCATTCTCACTGTCTCCAAAGTATGGCCCATATACCAAACTCCAAAATACTAACCTGCATAAAACACAGACACACACAATAGCCACATTGCCATACACCAATGTGGTCAACTTTACTGTTCCACGTAATTCACACCATGCCTCACACAGTCAAGCTTTAATCATAGTTCAACTTTCCATAAATCTCATAAGCTCTTTATAATGGTCATTTAAAAAAAAGTCTAGATAAAACCCTCAAAGAAACATATCAAATCTCAGGGCTAAGACAATCAAGTTGAGGTACAAGTGTAAGCAAAGTTGTGTCGTGGGCCGACAAGTCGGCGATCAACCAACCGACTTGTTATCAGTAGTAACAGAAGATGATCCTCGTAGAATCAAGCTGAAACTAATCCAAATCCTGGATCGAACGTCCAAAGAAGACCTGTATCATACGACAGGTTAAAGTCCAAGCTAAATCGTCAACGTATGGAGATCAAATCCCCACGACACGTTCTCACTCAAAACTCTTCTGATAGCCAAGCCTAGGTCTACCTCTAAGTCAGTGTCCAAAAGAAGGGTAGACCTATAGCAGAATCTCCCCCATACAGAGTGGATCGCCAAAGTCGCCACCTGTCAAAATATAATCTATCTCCTTTAAACTAAGAAAATTTCGGCAGCGCTCCCCATAGGAAAAGTGCCTTTCCAGAATTTATATCAGCCTAAATATGAAAAGAAAAAAAAATCTTCAACCTTTCAAAGTCAAATTTTGTCTTACTCCCTGAATTAGCAAAAATTTGGGCAGCACTCCCTTTAGAAAAGGAGACTTCTCAGATTTTCACTAAGCCAGATATATAGAAATCAGACAAGTTGAACTTTTTGAAAAGTTAAGTTTTGATCAACTCCTTGGATTTGCAGAAATTTCGGCAGCGCTTCTCGTAGAGAAAGTGACTTACCAAAATTTATACAAGACCAAGTATAATAAAAGATCCCAGAAAATGCAGAAATTGACCTAAGTAAAAATAAACTTAGCTCAGAAAATGCAGGAATTGAAACTAACTCCTTTGACTAGCACGTGGCGAGCAACTAAAGCGACTACCTATCAAAACCGAAACTCAGACTAAGTAGTAGTCGCACTCGGTCACATCCAGGCCAAACCACAAAGGTAAGTACTCTCACCATCCCCAAGTTAACTTAACAAACAATAGTTCATAATTTTTCATGATTTAGCCCTTTATACCCAACTTACATAGGACATTGAGTTAGGTCATTTGTCTTAGAAACAATATCAACTCTCGGCCTTACTTATACACGAACAGGTTGCACAACTACTCCTCTCTTCATTGGGCATATGACTAAGTTATTCGTCTTCGAAACAATGCTTAGTCGCCCTGGTCTGTTTAAATAGCCAAGTTATATATAATTCTATGAATTTAATCTTCCAAAGCGAGCATAGGACTGAGCCATTCGTCTTAGAAACAATGCTCAGCCTGCCCAAGTTACCTTCAGTTATAGCTCTTAGTTATACTCTCTTGATTTGTGATAAGGCTATAGTTAGACCATTCGTATTAGAAACAATGTCTAGCTAGCCTTGTTCTCATAAACATATTATTCCTTTGTTCACATTATACTCCTGTGGCTTCAGACTTAGACCATTCATCTTAGAAACAATGTCTAGTCTTTGGTCTGAACCTCCCTCAGAACAAAACAAAAACCTAAACTCCTTCAATCAGGCAGACCCTCAGAAATAAACACAGCAACCAGGTCATTCATCTTAGAAACAATGCCTGGTCCTTCAGAAAACAGCCAAATAAACATAGCAGTCAGGCCATTCGCCTTAGAAACAATGGCTGACCCTATAAGACCCGTTCAGATTCAAGCAAACTGCCTTCCTCCCAGCCTTCCCCCTAATGCAACCCTTTGTTACGATCTGCTTTCAGACAGACGACAAAACTGAAACTGCCATTGCACATACATTCCTTTACTTAGTCTGGATTGTGTCATGAAAGTCAAACTGAAAGTCAAAATAGAGGTACAGACAACATACTCAGTCAAACATAGCAATGAATACAAGTAAGGGTTATAACTGGGTTTATAGAAGGGAAGCATGGTTACCTTTCAGTTCCCTGCATCCAGAACTCCTCCTGAGTTTCGGCAGAGCTCCCGCAATCGGTGGGTTGATTCCCCACAGAGTCTTGTTGCGGTCCTACGGGTTGCAATCCCGCTTGCCGCCTTCCTCTCGTAACCAGGATTAGACTGAGAGTAAGAAGGGCAGAAGAAAGGCCGGTTTGAGATTCTCAAATACAAGAGGGGTGCTTTCAGACTCGCAGGAGAGGGCCTTGTTATCTTCAGTCTCCTGAGCGCCCTGCAATGACGACCAGAATTCGTAGCAACCTGGTCAAACTAAAGTCGAACTGTCGAAACAACCCTTCCTGGTTGAGCCCGACCACTCCTTCAAACAGCAACATCGGAACCGTCGACTAGACTCTCACTACGCAACTTAAAATGATGACATCTAAATAACACGCACCACTATGCCTTAGTTGGAGCGTAGGCAACTGTGCGGCAATATGTCGCAACCCATGTGCCCAACGTCAGTGCCTACGCTATGATAGTTGGTGCAACTGCTATGGATCTTGGCATCGGTTGCTGTTTACTGTTGTGACATGGGGTGACAATACCGCTACAAAGTCTGACGAGTAGCAATTAGCATGCAACAATCTCCCTTTTGCACAATATACCAGCAGTAAAGTCTGTGAAGTGCCCTGCTGAACTTTAGCAAGAGTTAGTTGCCCCTGCCAGCTGAAAACGACTTTGCACCTCTTCCCACAGAATCAGGCAAGAGTCCTCAACTTGCCAATTCTTGCTTCGTCCGAACCCGGATAATTCAGAACCTGATACTCTTCTGGATCCAAGCTCAGATCCGCAATCGGTTTGCTTGGAAGAGGCTGCTTCTATTGATAAGGCAAGCAACGCACCGTCCAGCACGTAAGCCTCCAACCTCTCTCTTATTCCATGACTTTCTTCGCAGCCAGCACCTAACTATCTTTACATCTGATCCCAACCAGTAGCAGTGGCCACCGACTATGGTACACAGTCACCCTCCGAAGGGGACAACGAGTACGGCTTCTACGACGGACACCACAAAAAGGCAGCTTCAGGAGTTGGGACGATGGCGATGGTACAATAGGGACGACTGTAACTAGGAGGGAAAAATAGCGTGCCCTGACATACTTCGGAAGAAAAACTGCCCCGTTCCACTGCCTGCCAAATGCGTAGGAAGGAGATCGAATCTCCTATTGGAAATAAGTCAGATATGCACCCACTTTCACATCGCTCATGCAACAGAGTAGAGGGAGGTTGCTTCCTTCATTGTTGTTCCGATCGATGAGGAGGGCAGCACAACAACCCTATGGTAAGTCTCCAAACTCCGCACTGCACTCCAATGAGATAGGCGAACTCGGGATGGACCTCCCCCTTGTGCATGCGCCCGCCAACAGGTAATTCTCTGTTCCGCGACTGGCCACTCGCTACTCCCCACGCATGCCAGGAAATGAGAATGGATCTCCCACTGAAATGCGGAAAGATACATTCAACTCCCCATCCTCACCTTACTTCCGCCATGCACAGCGCAACCCCCACGACGGATCCCGGCCAGACCGCCGCACCAACTCCATTTTTGTCACGGCCAATCATTCCGTAGTCCCTCGAAACCTCCGTTCAGGTCCTCCCCTCGTTCGTTTTTATGAAGAAACGAGCGGACTACGCAATCTTTACTCCCCTTTCCTTCTTTTCTTTTTTTTCCTCCTCGACTCCTTCACGC